AAAATAAGAGACGGAATGGGCAAGCAAGCAAGTATATTGGTGCGTATGAAATAAATACCTGACCCTCTCGAAATAGAGAGTATTTATAGCCCCCAGCGCTGGGCCAAGGTCCCTTTATTGGGCTGACTAAACAGGCCCAACAAAAGGACTGCCAGGTTCTACGTGTGTAGTGGGGATCTGCGCGTGGTCCCCTACCTGGATGATGCTCTCCACAGAATAGGGAGGGTGAAGACGCGATCTTCCCGGAACCCTGAGGACTCCGAGATATTCGGAGAGGTTGAGAGTCTGCCCTACGAGGAGGGTGCTCGAGCAGGGCTTGGATTGGGATGTTCCTCGTCTGGGACGTCCAGGACGCTCTTCGCGGGCACCGGCGGGCACAATTGTCCTCGACCAGACACCCATGGTCGGGGTATGTCGGGGAGTCTAATACTCAGCATAGTATGTTGTAAAGCTTGGATTGGGCCTCGCTGGTGATTGGGCCACGGGCAGGCCCAGTCCATAACACATAGGATGTGTTCATTGTTACTCCTGATGATAAGTATGTGAAAAAGAAAATGCTTGCTTATTATGGAGAGCGTTGGAGAGGGTTTAAGACACAGCTCGCCCATGATTATATTAAACATGGAGAAGATAAAGAAAAGCCTTTATACGAGGTGTATTCATTTATTAATCAAGATACTTGGGAGAAATTTGTAGAGTCTCGCACCACTCCTGACTTCTTGGTAAATAGTTTAAAAGGAAAGGAAAATCGAGCTAGAAATATCTACCCACATAGGTTGTCTCGTGGAGGATAATATCAAAGACTTGAAAAAAAATTGATGGATGAAAAAAGAAAAAAAAAGGATGAAGAGCTGGGATATTCTATAAGTCTTGATCACACTCCATCTCCACCATCACGTCATGAGAAATGGAAGATGGCACACCAAAGAAAATACGGCGAGTACACATCATATGCTACATGCGAAGTGGCTCAAAGGATTGCAAGTAGATACTTTTTTCAACAATATTTATTTTAGTTAAATGGATTTGGTAAAGATGAAATTTTATGTGTTGTAGGATGATCTTATTGAATAAACCAAGGTCGGCCTCTTCACTTCATAAGGTCATGATGAGATCTTGGTAGAAGTGATTGGAACTGAGGAGCATCCTGGGCGTGTCTGCGGTCTTCGTAGAGGTGTTGGCTTCAAGGTATATTTTGGATGATCTACATCATATAAAGAGAAAATCAGTAAGAGAGAGGTTGAAGAGATTGTTGTTGTTGAGTTAGGGAAGGAAAGGGAGAAATGGAAGGAGGAGCAGGATAGGTTCTTGGAGTAGGAGAGGGAGAGTTGGTTGCAAACGGTGCGGGAGAAGTTCTTGGAGGAGAGAGAGAGGTTATTGTAGATGGTACATGAGAAGTTCTTGGAGGAGGAGATGGAGAAGTTGTTGCATATGGCATGGGAGAGAGTCCAGAAGGAGCAAAAGAAGCAATAGAGGATGAATGAGGAGAAGGTATCAGAGAAGTGAACCCGCAATGTTCTTGAGGTATAAGTTGTATGTTGTTGTTATTATTGTTTGTGTATTTCAATTTTGGATTGTATTTATGTTGTTTTTATGATGCAGAAATTGACTTCGTTGGGTTTATTCAGTCACATAAGTTCATATCAATTGGAAATTCGAGAGAACGTAGTTGAGAAAGTTATGGGTGGTACAAGCGCGACAAAGTATTTCTTCCAACCAGGACTTATTGAACCCTCACCACCACCAAATCAAGATATCCTTCAGAGACTAGAGATGATGACATCGAGTATTGAAACCACAATTATGGGTATTAAGTTAAGTCATAATCCACAACAGTTATTGTTTCTTAACAAGACTTCTATACATGGATTTTTGAAGGGAGATGAGGAAGTAGACAATTTCATATTGCGAATTTGGAGCTCATAAGCCTAGTTTTATGTGTATTTCTATTTATATTCATACGTTTTTATACTTTAACATAAAGATTAGACCTTGCAGGTACATCCATGAGGCCTGTGTTGAAATGAAGCTTCTGAACAAGTATTCTATTTTAGATGCTGCGAGGATTGCTCTTACTCGCGGTTCTCCAGGACATGAAATCAAAAATTACTTACAAAAGAAGTTGATGAAGAAAGAGAGCATCAAAGATTTTTATATTGCCCCGTTTTACCGCGAGTAAGTATATATTAATTTGTGTTTTTATTTATAAATCAATTTTATCCATATTATTAATTGTTCAGAATGTTTATGCAGGGGAATTGGCATCTACTTATTATATATCCCAAGAGAAATAATATAATTGTGTTTTGCTCGGTGCACTCGACACTTCTCGACGTTGTGGTTAACACTTTGAGTGGGTAAGTGGTATTATTTCTTATACTCAAATTTAACTTTAGAATTGAATAGTTTTTATTCATGTTTAACTTTAACCGACATGTATAGAGAGATGGAGGAATTTAATGTGGGCAAAAAAAATCTTATGGGTAAAAAGTCATCCTATGTTTACCCAAGAGTAAGTATAGTAATTGTCCTTTTTGATATTATATTATTTGTGTGTATTAGTGTGACATTAATAAATGAAAATTATTTGTAGTGGTGAAAATAAACTGACGATCATTCTTGTGGATATTATGTTATGAGATATATGCTCCATATTATCTTCGTAGCCATTATATATATATATATATATATATATATATATATATATATATATATATATATATATATATATATATATATATATATATATATATATATATATATATATATATATATATATATATATATATATATATACTTCTTAAATTGTTTTTAGCATATCATGGTTTAAATTTTGTTCTAATTGTAGGAGCTTAGCATCAAAAAACCATACTCAACAGAAGATATTGATGACATCCGATCAAGTTGAGACAGTGTTTTCTTATCTAATTATGAAGCTCCACAACCATAACAATAATTTTCTTAGTTTCTATAATCTTATTTTGTATATGAATAGAGATTTTGTCATTTTGATGTGCAAATATCATCATGTCAAACGAGTGAATTCTACCTTGATGATAACAATGTAAATTTGCACGTTTCGTTTAAAATGATATGATATATTCCAATTTTGTTACATATTTTGTAGTTTCTGTGTAAAAAATGATCATGACAGGTTAGTAGATTTATCATAATGATATGATACATGCCAGTGAAAATGATACAGGCAAAAAATGATATAGGCCAGTGAAATTGATAAATATAGTCAAAAAGCTTCATTTTAAACCCCTCGATTATTACATTACATAAAATTTGAGGTAAATGAATACCTTATTACCTCGAAATATAAATAAAACCGACAACTATATGACGCATGCAACAATATGTAGAAAAATAAAAATATACAGTTCCTAGGGATCGAACCCATGACCTTTTCAATTATAACCTCGATGTTTAAAACACCAAGGTGTTAAGTGGATAATTTTCATGACGACCTTATTTACCTCGACTGAGTATCCGAGATAAAACACATTTCGCATACGATATTACATCGTTATTTGTAGTAGTGTGAATCTCCTTCAACTACTTGTCTTGCCAACTGTCTAGCTTTGAAAGCTCTATTACCAGTGATCTCAGTAGAAAACCTTATTCTTACATTTGATACAACTTCATTCAACCTCATCTTAGAATTGTTCCTCAACTTATCAACTATTATCTTAGCAACCCACTCAACCTTGGCATTCTTATTGAAGAATTGTCTACCACACTTGTGTTTGAATTTGAAAAACAAAGTTTTGATCTTGAATTTTGTAGTCCTTAAAACTCTCATGCATAATATTGTATAGTTGTCGCGGTGGGAAAAATTCAAGAATAAGTTATTGATTAACTTATCTTAACAAATAAGCAAGGGTCGTTGTTGTAACTAGTTTTTAAATTAGAGTCGCCACCCTTAATTTTTATCCTAAAGGAAGGGAGTATAAATGAATAACCCTAAAAGAAATTCATATATTCTAGGTTTGGACTCGGTTCTAGATGAGGGAAATGTGTTAGGCACGCCTTATTTACCTTGTTCGCAAGGATACTAGGTTTAGAAGCGCGATGTTTAAGAAATAGGGTTTTTATTATTTTATTAGGGAAAAGGGTTTGAATTTTAGTTAGCGGGACTCGCCACGATTTTTGATCGCATGCCTATGTATCCTCTTAGGAGGAATCCATTTCGTAGTTCGCAATTTTGTTTATGTTTTTTATGGATTGCGAAATATATTTTGAATTTCCCGTGTATGTGGTCTAAGAGTATGAATAAGCAGAGTTTGTTAGACCAAGTCCGCAGTTAACTTAAATATATTCGCATTCCTTTTCGAAAATTTGAATTAATTTATTGCGAAAATAATTTGGTGATCGTTTGAATACTTTTAGACATATAGTGAGGAGTATGATATAAGCCCCTTATCACGTGGTCAGATATTGGCCACGTGTCGCTTGCGGGTGCAGAAATTTGGTGATTCGCGCGGGTTTTAATATTTTGATATAAAATATTAAATTAATTATCATGAGAAATGTAATTAAACACATGCTTAAAAGATATGATTTAATACAAATAAATAATATTATATTTTAAGTGAGTTAAAATGATTAATCATAATAATATAATATTATATTACAAAACTATAAAATATATATATATAAAATAAAAATAAATAAATGCATATGTAAATGAAAGTAAATGGATGCAGATTATTCTAAGCAAGTAAAGGAGGGTGTGGAAACGTTGGGCTCTAGATCTAAATATTGGATCTAGGCCCAGAGATGCAAGGGGGTGTATCTTTCCCACACAACAGCAAATATAAAAACGGGCATGGGTGTGATTTGTAACGGGCTAGGCCCAAAAATTCAGAAGAAAAAAAAGGGTAAACCACACGGGCCAGACCCGGTTGAGGAAACCCGGTCCACCCCCATACTAAACGAAACCGGGTCTCCCCAAAGGGAAACCTAAAACTTCTCACCGATTCCTTATTCCTTCTTCATTCTCTCTCCCAACAGCGAATCCGATGGAGGGAGTACGGGCCGGAGTTCAGCGGTGAAGACGGATGGTGGTGATGAGAGAGTCGCAGATGAAGCAGATTTGAAGGGCGCTGATTCGGCGGTGAATTTGAAGATGGAAGTGGATCGAGGGTTTGGTGCAGTAACAGAGCGAGCAAAGCGGGAGATCGGTTATTGATGGGTGAACGGCGAGCGCGTATGGGTTGCCGTTTGGAGGCGGAGGGTTGCGTCGGAGGTTGTAGCAGGGGTGGCTGGAGAGTACGGTCTCGTCGGCAATGGAGATTTGTTTCCTCTCTTACTGTAATATCACCACCCTCCTCTTTTTTCCTTTTCTGTCCTGTCAAGCTCCCTCCCCCTGTACTGTAAAGCTGGTCTGTTTTTCTAACAGTTTCATATATTAGGAAGTATTTTAATGTTTTGATTTATTAGGAAAGAATCATTGATTCTATACACAGCTTTTGAATGCTAACAATAATGTTTCTGCTTTTTATTTGATACCAATTTCAAATATCGCCTTAAATAATTTCGTTTCTATATTAAGCTGATTCTGCTTAATTTGTTTCTGATTTTAGTATCGTTTTGCTTTTCACCAACATAAGCAGTAACTTCAGTAGCATCCCAATCTTTTCAAACTTGTGTGTTAAGCTATTATTCTGTTTCAACCAAACAAAACCTACAAAAACCTATTTCTATGTTGTAACCAACTTCAATGATGTTTTTCAATGGTAACAAACCATTGGGAAGACAAATTTCAGCAAAAAGCTCTTTGGATTTCACTTGCCCTAGTCCGTCTCCATGATATACCTCTGACTTCAACTTGATTTCTTCTGTTACCAACAACATTGTTTTGTTTTCTTTTGTTGTGTTCTTAAACATGCAAGAAACTTTTTTGCCTTTATCTCTGTCACTCAACATTGAAGATACACTGCATAGCATGTGAAAATCTTAAAGTCAGTAGTTACAAAAAGGACCTCTAGAATTTGGTATATAAAACTGAATTGGCTTCGTTATGTTAGAATTGCTGTAACAGATTGTACAATAAATCATTGTGTGAATTATTTTAATGCCATATTATTTTATGTTTAGTATCTTGAGTGACAAGTCTTATCTGCCACGCTTTTTAAGACTACAATAACATAAGAAAATGTTTTAAAAAGCAAGTTGATGCATATGACCTTGAGTCTTATTTGAATAATCATTTTATTTTTAGTAATCTACTTAAATTAAACAAATCCTTGGAACCAATTAAGTAAGCAAAAGCTATATATATCTTTCAACCACTCTAGCAAAATACTATTTTATATAAACAAAAAAAATTAGTTTATACGTAATGTGCAATAGTGAAATCAAAACCACCTAATTCTTCTAAAAAAGAACAAAACTTTGTGTGTTGGTTGATTTTAAATGAAGAGATAAGTCATCATTTTTAGGAGAAAAATCTCAATTAATCGCCCACAAAGTGTGAGAAAGAGGTACAATGCATCAACATGAGGGAGAGTTTGGAAATGACTCTAGTATTCAAGTGGAAAAGTCGACATCTTTACAACCACTAGGATAGGAGAATGACATCTCGACTATAAATGACTCATGTCTAATCTGGAAAAAGGTTCTTAAAGGAGAAAAGGTGCACAAGGGCACAAAACGTTTGAATGATGTTAAATGTTTTTTAGTTTTTTGAAAATATTTGATATGCTTATGTGGTTTTAGCATTTGATTAAAGAAAAGAAATTTTGAAAAGAAAATCACTTGACAAAGTCGAGGTTTATTGTGAAAGCGATTCGAGTTAGAAAAACCAGAAGGTTTTGAAAAAGATAAGAAGGTTTTGAAAATTGAAGAATGAGAGAGATGAAGAGACTATTCTAAAGTATAAAGTAAAAGCTAAGATAAAAAATATCTGGCCAAACAAGAAGCATACACTTTGACATAATAAAATCAACATAGAATTTCCATCTTTTGGATTAAAGCCGCAAGCAAAAAATAAATCAATAGTATACCAAATATCAAGTGAAAATAAATCACAAGCAGAAAATACATCAGATAAGCCCAAGGTATCGGATAAAGCTCAAAGCATCAGATGATCATCAAAATATCGGATAAGAATCTCTGCATCAAATGAAACTCCAAGCGAACAGACAAACCGAAATAACATAGAAGTAATCAAAAGGTCTCATATGAAATAAGAACTCAAGTCCAAATGATATCATGCATCAAAGCTAAATGAACAAATGAAATATGAAGTAAATATTTAATTAATTAATGATTGATTAATTAGATTGAAAAAAATTAATTAATATAATTAATTAATTTTTAATAACAAAATCAACTAACTAAATTAACATTTAATTAATTAACTAAAAGCAATAAAGTGTGCAAAGATGAGATCAAATAATCAAATAGCAATTAAACAATTAAACGATATAACACACACAAAAAAATTAATTAAATTAATTAAAAAATATTTAATAAAACTAATTGATCAACATTAACTTAACTATATAAAAATCAATTAATAAAATTAATTACTAATTAGCAAATAATAAAAAACAAAAATATTAGTAACAATAGACAAAACAAAGTAATTAAAAAAAGGTGTAGCAAACAGTAAAACATAGATAAAACATTAGAATTCGGGACTGGGCCTTGCAGATTTGAGCCCAAAACATAAAAAATAAAAGAGAAAAAACAAAACAAAAGCTGGGCTGCAGACAGTAACATGGGGTATACAAGCAGAATTCACGTGGGCTTTAAGGAAATATTAATCAAGCCCAAATAACTTTTATGTTTCATCATAGATAAATAAATAATTAAAAACAATAAAAGGATGAAGCGGATCTGGCTTAGGGGCCTTAGGCCCAAATCAAAATTAAAAAAAAATGCAACGGAAGCAAAGCTAAGTGCGGACAAGGTTTGGATAACTTTCATTCACCATGACTTTTGGTCTTTCACTCTCTTATTTTTCTCATTCCATCATTTTACTAGCATTTATTATTTATTTTTTATCTCATAAACCAGCAAAATTATACTAAAGTTACGGTAACTTTCACGCTTCGTGAAAAAAATTGATTCATAAAAGTAGTCACCGATCCCTTGGATGGAGTATCGACGACCATCTCTCTATTCATAAAAGACAACATAAGACCCAATCTTTCAACACAATCAGCAGTAATAAAGCAATGAGTAGCATCGGTATCAATAATAGTAAGTAAAGGAGTACTATTAATGAAACATGTATCTCTGATAAGTCTGTCCTCAGCAGCTGTCTGATCCTCAACCAAAGCGAACACTTTACCACTTGTCTGCGCCCTCTTTGGTTTCTGACACTGACTACTAATGTGCCCTTCTTCACTACAATTGAAATAAATCACCTCCTTATGCTTGCACTCAGATACAACATGTCTAGTGTTACCACAACGGAAACACCTCTTTACCTCAGTGGTACACACATTACTCTTATGCCCAGGTTTTTCATATTTGAAACAAACCACGCCAGCAGGAGCATCACCCCCACTAATCTTATGACCCTGACCAGTTTTCTGTTTACCTTTACCAGCTGGGGTATCATAAGGCTTACCACGATTATGTTGGTGCTTACCCCTCTTCTCATTGATAATCTTGTAATGAGCATTATTACCCTCTTCATAGATTCTGCAACTATCAATCAAATCAACAAAGACACAAATCTTCTGGTATCCAACTGCCTTCTTGATCTCCGGGCGCAACCCATTCTCAAACTTGATGCACTTTGAAAACTCAGCATCTGCCTCACCGTAGTGCGAATAAAACTTAGCCAACTCAGCAAACTTTGCACCATACTCAACAACATACATATTCCCTTGCTTCAGCTCAAGGAACTCGATCTCCTTCTTACCACGAACGTCTTCAGGAAAATACTTCCTCAGGAATTCCCTACGGAACACAACCCAGGTGACATTTTTACCTGCAGCTTCCAACCTCTGATACGTCTCTAGCCACCAGTCATCAGCTTCGACTGCTAGCATATGAGTACCATATCGAACCTTCTACGCTAGAGTGCAGTCCGTCACACGGAAGATTCTCTCAATCTCTTTCAACTAATCTAACGCTCCATCAGGATCATACTTTCCCTTGAAGATAGGTAGATTCTCTCTCTGGAAAGTCGCCAAACTACGAGATCCAGCATTCTCGTCAGCATTCGGATGATTTTCCATCGCATGCGCTGTTGCTTCTAAAGCAGCAGCAAGTGCAACATCATTCCTTCCAGTCATCTCAACTTATCACTACAACATAAACAACGGTTAGAACTCAAAGTAACAATACTCGATTGTTAGACAACTATGACTCGATAACTTGGTCAGACGGACCGACTTTGCTCTGATACCAACTTTGTAACACCCCAATTTTAACCCGGAAATTATAAATATAAATTAGAGTTATAAGATTCATACAACTGAATCAGGATGCCAAAAATTCAACTTAAAAACCATTGCATTCAACATGGATACATAACACTTTAAAACTTCAGATGAACCAACAGCAAAATAATTTAATCTCTTAGTTCAACAACTTGAACAACTACGCAGCGGAATCATAATAACATCCTTGTCCAACATTACCACAACTTCAAAATAACACATACTTAGCAACAATAAATTTAAAGTTCAACAACTGGAATAACAATAACTAAAAGCAACAAACGTTCATCCCCCCGAGTGTTACGTATCAGAGCAATAACACTGACTCGAACTACTGAAGGTATACCGCTTTCACTCTGGATTACCTGCATGTTACCGACATAAGGGTAACATTTAAACAGAAGGGGTAAGATATCTAACAATATAATAAAATGCATGATAAATAATATATTAGATCAACTCATATAATAACACCACTTCACATCTCATAAACAACAATAATCGCAACAAAATACCAACAATATACACATTTACCGCATCAATACACAACTTCTTTATGCAATCATATAATGCGACTCAATACTATGAAAATGCATGTGTACCATTGGAGCAGAACTCCCACCTCAAAATAATTGCCAATAAATAGAGGCATTAACAAGGCATAAGCCTTCATCTTAATATTCTCCAATACAGGCCATCTTAACCAGCACCAGCTCCATCTTGTTATGCAATGTATGTGACACAATCATGAATGTAGTAACAACAACCACAATTAACAACATCTCAACACAACATCATCGTTGTCCAAAAGCATGCATCTTAATAGCTACCAATTATTAGAGGCATCTCAACATCATTCATCAGCATAATTCATCAACATAAATCCACAGCAACTCAGCCATAACAACAATACAACAACCGATTGATAATCCCTCAACGTTGGCCATAGGCCTACAACATAATAATGCCTATAATTAATTAATCATCTAAGGCTTATCTATGATTACCAAACCTCTACTATTATTATTCTGTAATACTACATCATTATCATAATAAATCTTATTGTTATGAACAAAGCATAATCTAAGACCGTCTTATCCTTATCATACTTCACAAAATCATCATAGCGATTAACGCGGGAATCTAACTCTAATCCTAATTTGGGTACTAGGATTATTCTTCTTACCCTTCATTTTAATCCTTAAGAATGAAGTTCATCGCATTAGCTATCCAATGTTTCAAACGACACCTCAAACGGAGTCCGAAAACTCAAGTTACAGCCTTTGGAAGAATCTGTCAAAAATCAGACTCCATGAGTCGACACATACTTCTTTGAGTCGACGCGTACTGGTCTGAAATCCTGCATGAGTCGACGCATAATCCCCTTATGTCGACTCATACTGAGTCTGAAACACTGCATGTATCGACGCATGATCCTATGTATCGACTCAT